TCGCCCGTCTAGCTCGCGGAAGGCGCGACTGTGGCTCACCTGTCTCCTTTGCCAAGTGATAGAACTTGTCCCGCCGGCTCTTCCCGACTTTGCCCTTCTTGCCCATGGTGGGACGCGGGAGTGTCACTCAACCTGGGGAGAAAGTGGAAACCGGGCGTCTCTTCCCGGAGCGCTAGACTCCGCTCGCCGTAGCAATCACACTCAGCGCCTTGCTCCACATCACTCGCTGCCAACACGGTTTCCAACAACTCCAGGAGCAGCACATGGAGGCAGCAACGTACTTCCGCTTCCGCTTGCGTAGCACGCGTCCCCGGCTCCACGTTTTCTGTCACTTGGAGCGTGGCCACAAAAAGTATTTTACTCTGTCGCCAGGTTTTATATAAACTGTAGGTTGGGACCAAGAGAGTAGACCACGTGAACTAAAACCGAGTTTCTGGAGACATTTAGGAGTTCTGTGCCCTCCCAAAGCTCCCGGCCTCTCGTAGCGGCGCGGCCCACCGCCCGTCGGGGCCCTTGTTATTTGTTATCATTCCCGCGCGCACCCGGCCCATTGACCCGGAAGCACTCTCTGCCCTGGTTTCCGGCTCCGAGTCCCTGCTTCTGCGCCTGCGCGCCGAGGCGGCTGGGATGCCGGCGATCTCCCCTACAGAAGGAAGATGGCGGTTGATGGGCCAGAGCAGGTATGTGGCGGCGGCGGCAGCGGCTGAGCGGGGGCCGGGGCTGGCTGCGGAGCAGGAGTGATCCGAGGTGGGCCGCCGGCTGGGGCAAGAGGTCAGTGGGTCGGGGGTGGGTGGTCCAATCCAGATCGGGCCCTGCCTGGGACCGGATGTGCTGTGTCAGCGCAGCCCCCGGGGGGTCAGGGCCGGACGGGGAGAGAAGACCCGGCGGAGGCGGAGTGAGATGAGCGATGGGAGCGGGAACGGGCCCGTTTGCCAGCCGCAGGAGACAGGAAACGCGCCCTTCCTCCCGGCTCCGCCTGTGGTAATAGCACCCGGGTCGGTAAAGCGCCGGGCTCGGGACAAAGCGCTCCGTGCGTGTCTGTCATCTCTGGGTCGTTCTGGTTCCTATGATGGAGGCGGCATTCGAATTCTGCTTTTAGTTTAGTCATGGGGTCAGGGAGTGCTCTGAAGAAATGCAGGAAGAGATTAGAAGCCAAATCTGAAGCCTCCGTCCAGGCTGGAAGTGGCTTGGCTATGTAGCCTGTTGTTTAATAATTACACTGTGTCTTCAGATGGAGCTGGAAGAGGGGAAGGCAGGCAGTGGACTCCGCCAATATTATCTGTCCAAGATTGAAGAACTCCAGGTGAGACGGGCTCCAGAGGGACAGAGGGAGCCGGCAGGGGGATAAATGGTTGAGGAATTTCAACAATCCTTACAATCCCACTGGGGCCAGCGGGAGAATAGTTTGTTACACATCTTCCAGAGTCAAACAGAGGAGGCCGTTCCTTTGGGTAGACGCCTGATGGAGAGGATTTCACTTTAAAGGGAGGACATAGGCTCAGGAACTGAGGTTTATCAGATGGGGGTTGGGGTAGAGTGAGTGCAAGAGGAGACAGAATTGAGTCTGGACATTGCTGACACCAGGGGACTGAGTGAAAAGGAATTGGCAACACAGTGCTCTTGCCTAAAGAGGGAGCGGGGACCACAGAAATAAGGAGAATAACGAATACGCATTGGATGGTGGAAAGCCATAGGGAGTTTCTAAACTCCAGGTACATTTGTAGGTATTGTATATGGGTTTCATTTTTGAAATGCACTTGTGATTTCATACAACAGTCCTGAAAAGAGGCATGGTGTAGTGATGCTATGCCCACTTGCAGTTGGTAACAGAACTAGATGTTTTAAATGGCTCTACCTAGCAATTACTTGGCAGCAGGAGGGCTGGAACTTAGGCTTCTGACTCAAAGATCTTCCCACTGGAGCATGTTGATATGCCACCCTGCAAGAAATTGTCTACATGAGCCAGTTGTACTGTTGCCCCATTAGGCTTTGTTCTTCCTGGACCAGTGTTAGACAAGTAGCCTTTTTTGATCAGAGGCGCTGCTGGAGGACAGGCCAAGGCCATTAGCATCATGGTGAATCTGAAACCTGCAGATGCCTGTGCTCTTCCCTCACTCGGTTCATACCAGCCTGAGGGTCTTGACCAAGATCTTAACCTACTTTTTTCTGCCTTTTGAAACTTCTTGTCCTTTGCAGCTGATTGTGAATGATAAGAGCCAGAATCTCCGGAGGTTGCAGGCACAGAGAAATGAGCTTAATGCAAAAGGTGAGGGGGGAAGGGAAGAGGGAAGGTTGGCTGTGGGCAGTTGGTCTGACTTCTCACTGTTCAGATCTCCCTGAATTACCTTCACATTGGTGCTTTTGTTTTCTCCCAGTCCATGGATATGCCTTGCAATGGTATATAGTTATTCACATGCACATCTCTTTCCAAGCCCCATAGCAATCCCCTTACATAGAATTTGTATTTTCTTTTTGTGGCTTTCCCTTCCAAATGTACTTAGTTCCTGGGTATTGAATTATCGGGGAGGGAACACTAAAGAAGCTGGGTGACCACTATGTCTGTTTCCCATCCAGTTCGCCTATTGCGGGAGGAGCTACAGCTGTTGCAGGAGCAGGGCTCCTATGTGGGGGAAGTAGTCCGCGCCATGGATAAGAAGAAAGTGTTGGTTAAGGTAAAGGCAACATCACCCAGGGACCATCCGCTGCATTCCCATACCTTTGTGTGTAGCCTTCCAAGGACAGCATTCTGTCACATTATTCTAGAACTTCGGGTCTCCTTGGGGGAGGTTGGTGGTTTAGTGACGTCAGGAAAAGTCATGAGCCCTGTTTCTTTAGGTGCATCCTGAGGGCAAGTTTGTTGTAGATGTGGACAAGAACATCGACATCAATGATGTGAGTGCAGGAGATGAGATGGGAGTTTGGGTCAGTTCTCTCCACACAGCTTCCTGAAAGTCTCTCCCCTCTCCCAGGTGACACCCAACTGCCGGGTGGCTCTAAGAAATGACAGCTACACTCTGCACAAGATCCTGCCCAACAAGGTAGACCCACTGGTGTCACTGATGATGGTGGAGAAGGTGCCAGATTCCACTTATGAGATGATTGGTGGACTGGACAAGCAGATCAAGGAGATCAAAGAAGTCATCGAGCTGCCTGTTAAGCATCCTGAACTCTTTGAAGCACTGGGCATTGCACAGCCCAAGGTGAGAAGTAGGGCTTCTGTGGGAGGGCCATGCTGTTCCTCCTCACCTGTCCCAGGACAGGCTGGGTGCAGGGTTTGAGGAGGGATAAGTTGGCCCTCTCCACTCAAGAGGGCTTGGGGGAGAGATACTATCAGGGCACTGAGGAGGTTTGGATAGAAACACCAGAAGGGACCTTGACGTTCATTCTTTTGTATCTCTAAGCTTCTAGTATGGGACCCAGCACAGAGCAAGCAGTATGTGTCCATTGAATGAAACGGGGCTGCCTTTCTGCCCTGAGACCTGCTGTTTCCCTCTAGGGAGTGCTGCTGTATGGACCCCCAGGCACTGGGAAGACACTATTGGCCCGGGCTGTGGCTCACCATACAGACTGTACCTTTATTCGTGTCTCTGGCTCAGAATTGGTACAAAAATTCATCGGGGAAGGTAACTGTGGCTAGAAACATGAAAACCAAGCAGACGGGTTGCGGGGGGGGTGGGGGGTGGGCTAAGGGTAGGGAACTCAACTCCTAATGCCAGCTTGGCCTCGGCACAGGGGCAAGAATGGTGAGGGAGCTGTTTGTCATGGCACGAGAACACGCTCCATCTATCATCTTCATGGACGAAATCGACTCCATCGGCTCCTCACGGCTGGAGGGGGGTTCTGGAGGGGACAGTGAAGTGCAGCGCACCATGCTGGAGCTGCTCAACCAGCTGGATGGCTTTGAGGCCACCAAGAATATCAAGGTGAGATGGTGGTAGAGATGGGAGGAGCTGAGGGAAGGCCATGGGTGAGGTGCAACCTGGGGAGGAGCCTAGCTGATGCCACACCCCTTCTCCACTCAGGTTATCATGGCTACTAATAGGATTGACATCCTGGACTCGGCTTTGCTTCGCCCAGGGCGCATTGACAGAAAAATTGAATTCCCACCCCCTAATGAGGAGGTTTGTAATGGGCAATGCTGGGCATGGAGCTGGCTGCGGGGGTAGACAGTGGGGCTCAGGTTTTTCCTCTCATTTCTAGGCTCGCCTGGACATTTTGAAGATTCATTCTCGAAAAATGAATCTGACCCGGGGGATTAACCTGAGAAAAATTGCTGAGCTCATGCCAGGAGCATCAGGGGCTGAAGTGAAGGTAATCGGCGGGCCCAGGAAAAGGAAGGGGCAGAGGCAGGAAGCTCTGGGTTCAAGGACACAGCAACAGCCTGTTTTCCTTTCCCTGTTCAGGGTGTGTGCACGGAAGCTGGCATGTATGCCCTACGGGAACGGCGAGTCCATGTCACCCAGGAGGACTTCGAGATGGCAGTAGCCAAGGTACAGGTCTCCATCTTTTCTGCCTTTGCTGACAGTGGCTCCAGAGCAGTGGGGATAGGGCCTGTGTTCACCCAGTTGGTAACTTAATGTTTTCTCTCTCTGCAGGTCATGCAGAAGGATAGTGAGAAAAACATGTCCATCAAGAAGCTATGGAAGTGAGGTGGATGGTCCGTGTAGATCCTCAAATAAAGCTCTGCAGGACAAGGCCTTTAGGACTTTGGTTTATTAATGAGTGGCAGCACTGTTCAATGACCAGGTCTGGGCACCACCAATAAACAAGGATTTATTTGGAAATTTCCAAACCTGCCAGAAGTGGCACTTTCCAAGCCCTAGGCCCACCCTTCTTATCAAGCTCCAAATGGCAATGAGTTCCCCCTCCCCCCTGCCCTCCACCGAGCACACACACCCATGCCTCAGGCCAAGCCAGAGAACTTGAGTGTCCCCTTCCTCTAGGAGGCTTTATAGCCCTGGGCCCAAGAGCTGGAGTGGCAGCCCTCTGGCATCCCAGAAGCCAATGGCCTTTGGTTCTGAACCTTCTCCCTTACAATGGCAAAGCCAGGCCCCCAGGAGTCCTACTGGGCCTGCCTGCAGGGAGCAGAGGCATTTATTGTGAACCCAATTAAAGCCAACGCGTAAAGTAAGTAATAAGGCTTTGGGGACCAAGCAACAAGGAATCCTACTGCTACATTTATGAAACTAACGCTGGGGAGCTGAGGGTAACAGGACAAACCCTCACCCTGCTCCTTATGCTATGTGTCTGCAGCCTCAGATGGTGGTCCCTTCCAGGCTGAGAAGGGGATGATGCCTGGGCTGGGAAGAAAGGAAGGGATCCCTGAGCAGTTAGGTCAGGCGAATTCCCAGCACCTGTTCCAGTTCCTGCCTTCGCTGCTGCACCTGGAAGAGAGACCAGCAGCTCAGGCTTCTGCTGCTCACAACCACAGGAGGGCAAACAGGGCAGAGTCTCACCTTGGCAAAGATATGCCTCCCCACTGCTTCCTGGGCCCAGGGCTGGTGGTAGAAAGCAGCTCGTCTCTCCTCCTCAGGATTCCCAATCACATCAGTGATGATCTGCACAGAGCCAGGAAAAAGTGGTAGCTAATTCCCACTCCTGAGCCCCTGGAATCAATAGTGACGGGGATAAAACCACCCAGAGTTTAACCTGGTCTCATCACCAGGAAAGGACCACACCTTGAGGTCTCGGCGCTGGGAACGGAGCCATTCCTGGATGAAGTCCTGGGGGTCAGTGCTAAAGCTGAGCATGAAATCCCTCTGGGTCTTCAGCTGGTTGATGGACTCGATGGTCTCATGGATCTTGGGGGGAGGGGTGTATATATATATATATGTGTCAGACGGGCCCCCACTTCTAAGGGGTCTATTTCCAGACCTAACCACAAAGGACTTGGACAGAAATCCTATCCCAAGGTGCTACATGTATAGAAATGCCCAACAGAATGCCCACCCCCAACTTGGGCCCCAGAGGAGGTGAGGGTGGAGGTGCAGAGGGCCCACCTTGACATCAAGGGAGGCAATCTCCTGCTGATTGGTGGTAGAGGCCAGGAAATTGCTCATCTGGGCCTTGAGTGGGTCATCCACCTCCACGTCAATGTCATAACAGGCTGTCTTCTTCTGGTCATTAGGGTCCACGCTGTAGGCAGCACGCAGGAGGGGAAGGATGAGTACATAGCAGTATCCATCCCACCCACCTGGGCCAAACCTACACACACTTGGGGAGCAAGAAACCAGACCTGCTGCTTCTCTTTAGATCAATCCAAAGGTAAATTGCTCTTAGAAGAGCCTTCCCATTGCCCTCTTCCCACTGACCTAATGACATGGTTGATAACAATGGGGTCTGGATGCTGCAGCAAGCCAGCCAGCTTCATGGGAATCTCGGAGAATCGGAGACGACCACAACTGAAGATCTAGAGAGAGTACCAAAGGTGCCTTTCAGGGCACGGGGGGAAGCGGGTCATCACAGGGGGAGTGTGAAGAATGTGGCCAAGAGCTAGCTCAGTGGGGCTCTGGGACAACAGGCAACGCAGGGGCTGCAAGACCAGGAGGAGTTCCCGCTAACCTGGCGGAAGTAACGGTTGCAGTTGATGTACTCGCGCTCATGCCCGTCCTGCAGCTGGTTGTGTTTGATGTAAAGCCACAGGGCCTGCATGATGGCGGCCCTTGTCTGTGTGTGCACTCCCAGCAGCCTTGCCAGTCGGGGGTCCAACTTGTACTGAGGAGGCTGGGGATAGAAGGAAGTCAAAGGAGGGGTTCTTGTGAAAAACCAAAGCCACAGAATAGGGCAGGGACAGGAAGGGTTTCCAATAAACCTGCCCCTGTCCCTGCGACATGGCCCCAGTCACCTGATGATCCAGCATGAGCAGGAGGGTACACTTGACATTGAGGTCTCCAGGCCGTTTCACCTGGAAGCCATCCGTTTCCTGGGTGGTGGGCATTCGATGCCACTGGCAGGGAGGAAGGGAGCACAGTTCACCAAGGGGTGGGCATGAACATACACACTCGGCCCTCTCCAAGGGGACCGAGCCTATTTCTCTGTGCACCTGGCACATCAGCCTGTGCTCCCATGCCCCAGTCCACTCTCACCTCCACCAGGTGGTTGTCAGGCCCATACAGCTCCTTGTCTAGCTCAATGACGAGGCTCTTAAAGAATGAAGAGAACTTCCTCTTCTGTTTGCTAGGCTGGGGAGGGAAAGGGGTGAGATGGGAGTGCTGCTGAGCTGTCGAAGCTAAGCTATGCTAAGCCCCCAAAAGAGGAATACTGTTTCAGCCCTGAAGTTCAGGGTACTGAGGATTCTTAGGCCCTGAAGGAAGCAGGGAAAAGTGAATGACTGGAAGTAGGAAAAGGACTCTCTGTGCAGCCCCACTGTTAGCCAACATAGGATTTTTAATTAAAAAAGGGGGAAAAAAAAGAAAAAAAGGGGGAAAAAAGGGGGGGGGGAAATAAAAATAAATAAAAAAGGGACACCCTAGCTGGCTTGGCTCAGTGGATAGAGCGTCGGTTTGTGGACTGAAGGGTCCTGGGTTTGATTCCAGCCAAGGGCACATGCCCAGGTTGCGGGCTCGATCCCCAGTGGGGTCATGCAGGAGGCAGCCAATCAATGATTCTCTCTCATCATTGATGTTTCTATCTCTCCCTCTCCCTTGCTCTCTGAAATCAATAAAAGAAATATATATGTGTGTGTGTGTGTGTGTGTGTGTGTGTGTGTATATTTTTTTAAAGGGAACCCCTTCAAGACACTTTACTGTCACCTGTAGGAGAACTGTTGTAATAACCATACAAATCTCCCAACCTCTGACTGGCTTGCAAAGCCTGACTGGGAGCACTGCCCTTTCCCTCAGGTAGGACTTCCCAGAAGTGCCCAAGTGGCTGGCCCCAGTCTAAAAATCCACACAGACCATGTCCTCTCCAGACAGCTTCTTCCCCAACTCACATCATCCAGGAGTTTTCCTTCCACTCGGAGTTCCCAGGAAGCCACCTTGTCCCCTGATGGGGTTCCCCCAGGGGTCCCTGCAGTTCCTGCACTGTCACCTTCCGCCTTGCTGGGACTGAATGTATTGGAAATGTAGATCCGCAGCTTTCGTTTTTGCTGAAAAGAAGAAGACAGAGGTGGACCAACATGTTAGAAAACAATGCTACCCCTGTCTTCCCATCTGAACTCATTCAACATCAATACTGAGTGGCAGCTATGGGCCAGCACCTTGTTAGGCTCCTTATCTTGGCCTTCAAGGGACTTCCAGTTTTATGGGGGGAACAGATGCACTATCCACAGTTCCAACACTGGAATCAGTGGACACACAAGGTGCTATCAGGGAAATCAGAAGCCTCCAGCTCTTAGCTACACTAATAAAAGACAAAGATGCTAATTGACTGTACCTTCGCTATGCCCTAAGCCACACCCACCAGCAATCAGAGTGACTATATGCAAATTAACCCAACCAAGATGGCAGCCAGCAGCCACGGAGCTGGAGCAAGCAGGCTTGGTTGCCTGGGTGATGGAGGAAGCCAAGCTTCCTGCCTGCCCTGAGCCGGCTGTGGCCTCTGCTCATGGCAACAAAGTTTCAATTATAAAAGAAAAATAAATCCCAGATACCTGCTTCCAGCCAGCCTCCACTGGGAGCTTGGGTGGCTGGGGGTTGTGGCCAGCCTGCAAACAGCCATCAGCCCCTCACCCAGGCTGGCCACACCGCTGCCGGCTGCCAGTATAGTGGTGGTGGGAGCCTCTCCCGCCTCCTCAGCAACGCTAAGGATGTCTGACTGCAGCTCAGGCCTGCTCCCTTCTGACAAGTAGACATTCCCCAAGGGCTCCTGGGATGCCAGAGGGATGTCTGACTGCCAGCTTAGGCCTAATCCCCCAGGGAGCGGGCCTAAGCCAGCAGGTAGTCATCTCCCAAGGGGTCCCAGACTGCGAGAGGCACAGGCTGGGCTGAGGAGGTGCTCCACGCCCACCCCAAGTGCACAAATTTTTTGTCCCCAGGCCTCTAGTTTTAAATAAAACTCATCACAGCCCCAAAACATTCTCGTCTCCTAGAAAGCCTTCACCATTCAGGGGACTGTGCTAGATTATTATTAAAAAGAAAGAGGAAGAAGAAGAAAAAGAAAAGCTCTAGGGATGGGTAAGGAGAGAAGAATTATCCTAATCCTCCAGTTTTACCTTTCAAACTTCTGACCATGATCAACATGATTTGCATTTTATTTACTTTTTTTTAACTTTTAAAAAAAGTATAGCCCTAACCACTTTGGTTCAGTGGATAGAGCGTCGGTCTGCGGACTCAAGGGTTGCCTGTTCGATTCTGGTCAAGGGCATGTACCTTGGTTGTGGGCACATACCCAGTAGGGAGTGTGCAGGAAGCAGCTGATCAATGTTTCTCTCTATCCCTCTCCCCTTCTCTCTGTAAAAAATCAATAAAATATTTAAAAACGCTGTGTATCCTGCAGCCCGCCTGCGCTGCATCTCCTGCCATGTCTCCGTCACCCGACAGACCGACCCCCCCCCCCTTCTTTTAACGCCACTTCTTCAAAATAGACTCACCCAGGCCGAAAACTGACTTCTGCGCATGGGCCACGAAGTTTCAATCACACTGTATGTACATGCCCACACGTGGTATTTTGTGGAAGAGCCACACTCAAGGGGCCAAGGAGCCACACGTGGCTCACGAGCCGCAGTTTGCCGACCACTGGGCTAGGGCAACATGATTTACATTTTAAATCATGACCCAGAATCCACACACATCTATATAAACACCTGAAACAAAAATGTTATGAATAATACCTCTACTACTCTGGTAAGTACTTTACTATGGAGAATTATTTTAATTTCTACTATTTTATATTTCATAAAAAACATGCTGGTCCCACCACATTAACTGAGTTCATGCTCCACTAAAGGCTGCATCCGCAGTGAAAAATCCTGCTCTACCCATCACAGACCCTCACTTAGCCCCCAAAAAACCAGGCCGAGGAGAGGCAGGGAGCGTGGGAAGGCCCAGGATTAGCCAGGGCTGCACACACCGTTAGAGGCTTTTTGATGGCCTCCTGGATCTCCATCCGCTTGCGAGCAATGGTCTGGTCCAGCTTCCGCTCAAAAGCCAAGAGGTCCATGTACGCCTGAGACTCTGGGACAAGCTCCCGAATCTGGAGGAAGGGAGAAGGAATTCATGCGTTGTTTTAGCTGCAGCTCTCGCTCTTTCTTCTCTCCCTTCCCCATCGCAGGGCTGGGGGAGATTGACTCCATCCATAGCCGGCCATTGGGTGAGCCCCCTAGGCCCCTCCCAACATACTCACTCGCTGAGGTAGAACCTTATCTGCCATCTTCCTCCTCTTTAACCTGGGGAGGACAGAAACTCAATTAACAGGTCAATGGTCCAAAAGACCCCCAACCCCACCCATCCCTCCAGTCCCCAAGATCCTCCCCCCGGAGAACAAGGAGCCTTCCTCAGTCATAGCAGTTCTTAGGACGGAGGAAAGCCCTCTGTTGCCACTACAGCTGTGCTAGGTAGAGTGGGAAAAACAGGCTTACCCCCGGCGCTGGGCAGGCATCGGGGGCTGGGCCTGGGGCACAAGCAGGCGTTTTCGGAATGGGTCCATCATGGTGGGTGGCATGCCAGGTCGAAGTGGAGTAGCTGTACCAAATGGGGAGCCCGTAGGGGGTCCCACCTGCATGCCAGCCATGGGCATCCGGCTCCCTGGTGACATGCCCGGCCGCTGGGGGAAGTGAGCCAAAGGGGGTGCACAAGTCAGTGGCAGGGCCCTATGAGGCCCAGAGCCCAACCCCTCCGGGTCTGTCCTCGGCCAGGTCCAGCCCCGAGCACGAGCAGCACACCGCAGAGGCCAGGCTGAAGTGCCAGAAACAAAGGGAAGCAGGCGTCTGATAGCAGAAGTGTAAACCACACCTGCCCCGCCCCTTCAACCGCCCTGGCAGCTGTGCCAGCGAATGAGGCCTGCAGAGCCCAGGGGGTGGGAGGAGAATCCTGCCTGCAGAGGGAAAGGCCTGGGGGAGTTTTCAGGGCCTAATGCCACCTTCCAGCCCCAGCAGGCTATGCCCCTGCTCCTTGGGACTAGCCAGCTTCAAGGCACTCGTAAGGCCCTCAGATGGTCCAACCAAGCATTCCCATCCTAGGATGGAGAAGCACAGCACAGGAGCCCGGGGGGTGGTGTCATAGCCAAGCAGCAGGGTGCAGTGTGTGGTATGAGCAGGCTGAACGGGCAGAGCCTTTAAACCCATCCCGTTGCCAGCCTGGTGCTGTGCCTGAGGGGAGAAAGAAGTTCAATAGGCTGGCAAGCCCATCAGGCAGCAGCACTCCAGGTAAGCAAGCTGCAACAGGATGGCTTGGACATGTCTCAATTGGTGGGGGTGGCCGCAGCACAGTATGGAAACATCTGGTCACCATATGGCCCCTACTCACAACCCAGAACTGGACCCTTCGCTCACCTCCCTACTGCCCAGCCCCCAACCCCTTATACCAGAAGATCCCAAAGGGAAGCTGTGGCTCATGGGAGACAGAGCAGCTGACACCTGGACTCTGCCTATGTCCACACACCACCTGGCTCATAAGCCCTCACAGTCCCAACCTGGAGAATGGAGATAGGATTATCCTGGGACACAAGGGACAGAGTCATAGGGGCAGCAGAGGAATCTGGGTGACAGAAATGACTTCTTTAGAAGCTTGTAGGCTTTCCCAGAGGTCCAGCTCCCCAACATTTGTGGAGCCCATCCAGGAGTAACCAACCCTCTTCCCACCTCCCTTCCCATGGCTGCTGTCTGCAAGGCCCGTTTGGCAGCTCTGCCTCACACACAGTCCCTGGCAGCTTCACAGGGCTGGCCCCAGGGCCCAGATTATGCAACCAGCACAACCAGCCAACCAAGCCAAGCCGGTGGGGACTCGCACCAGCTCAAAGGACCCCTGGCCCAGCATCATAGAGATGAGATTCTTCCCCCATCTCTTCATCTAGCACCATGTTCTCACCACAGAGGGTCAGATTCTTGACCAGATGGAGAGATGGAGAAACATGAACCAAAAGCACGGGGAAGGGAAGAGTAGGTAGGGTGGGAAGGAAGCATTTGGGAGAATGGAGAGTTAAACATGGGGGTGGGGTGAGAGCTCTGGGGCCTCAGGATTCCTGCCATAAGTCTCTCCTCATCAGAGAGATTTTCATCTGAGCTGCTGAAAGGCAAAAGACAGCCGTTTCTCTGCCTTAATGAGCCACGGCCAGGGATTACAGAAAAAAAGTCAGTGTGACCACAGCTGTAAGCCCAGCCCCCGGATATCCCAGATATGTTTTTCCCACTCAGTGCCTGATCCGAAGGGGAGGAACAACTGAGGCAATGAAACCAGCCGAGTGTGAGCGAGGCCCCTGTGCTCCTCACTAGGGTATTCACAAAACCTCTGCAGCACCACCCCTCCCGGGCAGGTGCTCCGGTAACTGAAAGTTCCAAGACAAGGCCGCACAGGCAGGCCTAGAAGAGGCCCCTCCCAGACATCTGCTCCAGACTTCCCAGGCGCAGAGCCCCCAGCGCACCCCGGGCCCCTGGGTTCCTCCAGGAGGGGGAAGGGGCCCAGGGGAGGGCTGCTTATAGTTCATGAAATCCCAGCTTGGCCCTGCCAAGCTCCACCAGTAACTCTTCCTCTTCCAAAAAACAACCCAAGGATTATAAAAAAGGAAAAAGAATGCAACCCAGAACTTTCAAGTTCCCTAACTCCCCACCTGCAGCAGGGCTAGGAAGGTCTGGCTCAGTGCCCTGAACCCCAGAAGCGCGAGGTGAACTCCTGGCCCTGTAGCCTAGCACCAACCCACATTCTAAGCTTTATTTTACCTCCACCACCCAGGAGCAGGACTGGGCCTGATGCTGCCCCCTCCAGGCCTCCAGAAAGCATGTTCAGCCCTGCCTCAAAGCTGGTAGCTGGGCCTAGAAGACATCCCCCTCCACAAGTGAAAACTATTTTAAACTCTCTGGAGTGAACACAGCAATGTGTTTCTTTGTTGTCCGCATTAAGCTTCTCAGCTGTGAGCTTGGCTATCTGTGATCCACAGCTAGGACCACCGCCTGGAGGAAGGTGGGTCATCACTTCCCTTCTTTCAATAGGCTCCCTTGTTGCTCAACTTGGGCCCTGAAGTCTTTGCTCTTCCAGCTCACCCCATGTGCCCTAACAGACAGGACCCCCCTTGCTTCTTAGATCTCAAGTCCCTTCTCCTTGAGCACACAACTGGACTTGGTAAGAGGCCAAACACGATCCCCCTTCAATTCAGGCAGAGAGAACTGGGTCTTCCCTCCCATCAACCTCTACTGCCTCCCCCTGAAAAGGACGAGCTGGTGGGATGGGCAGCCCAGGGAAGCAGAGGCTCAGTGCCTTCCCAGTGAGCCTCATCCCTGTTCCCACCCCCAGCAGCCTGAGGCTACCCGACCAGCCTGCTCAGTCTTGCCATTGGCTCAAGGTCACTCCCTACGTCAGTGATGGCGAACCTATGACACGCGTGTCAGAGGTGACACGCGAACTCATTTTTTTGGTTGATTTTTCTTTGTTAAATGGCATATAAATATATAAAATAAATATCAAAAATAGAAGTCTTTGTTTTACTATGTTTGCAAATATCAAAAAATTTCTATATGTGACACGGCACCAGAGTTAAGTTAGGGTTTTTCAAAATGCTGACACACCGAGCTCAAAAGGTTCGCCATCACTGCCCTACGTGTTGCTGTGGAATCCATCCTCTCGGGCTTTCCCCAAGGCCCATGTCCCATGGGTTGCAAGCTGAGGAACTGGAGAGGCTCCTATCATCCCTCAGATCCTTCTCAGGCCAAAGGCCCATAGGAGGGCTCCCAGGCCAGGGCTCAGCTAGCTGGCCCAGGGCTGGAATGACTGATAGAGGCATCCCTTCGGGGCACCTTGGGATGCCTCCATCAGAGCCCGGGGGGTGGGAGGAGAATTTGGATCACTTCCTAGGACCTGCTCCCACCCTCCCCCCAGGACCTACACTATTTCTTAGCCCACCTGCCCACAACTCCTCCATCCAAGGGAATGACCAAGATGAGAAAGACAGACTCCAGCTAGAGTCCAGACCAGGTCTGTCTCTATCAGAAAAACTCTGTTTTTCTTTTGTTGTTTTTTTAGAGGAAACAGGGAGAATGAGTGGTAAGAGGGGAAAATCACTCTTCCCCGGTAAGCATCTCTTCAGAAAGTGGGGCCCAGGGCTCCTGGGGAGACATGCGTACCCTATTCGATAAGGACCCATTTCGAGGACCTCCACCTGGGGACATAAAGGAAGAATAGAAGCCCCGGCTTCCTTCTTTCCCTCAAACTTGCCAGGAGCCAGTGCCAAGTGGCACATGGGTTGGAATATGGCATTGCTAGAACTTAAAGGCTAAATAAAAGTGGAGCGGGGACAGGAAACAGGATGGGTGCAATCCCCAACGTTATGGGACAACCAGAAACAACCGCTGGGAGGCTGATGAATCCCACCAGCAGAGTCAGGCTCAGTTCCTCACACAGGCTCCCAGCCTCTGCCTCTCAATGGCCTTTGAAGCTGCAACCTGAGAAGCTCTCTTCCAAGCCAAGCCCCAAAGGGCTCTGGATAGAACCCTTTGAAGCAACTCTCCCAGGATCCTCCAGCCCCAGAGCAGCAGGGCTCGGTGGAGCCTTTCTGCTCCTCCAAACAAATCAACTGCTGGACAGACACTGCGACACCGGGCAGAAGGCCAGAACGAGAGTCTGCCCAGAATGGGCCGGGCTGTGTCCTTCTTCAGGCCTGGCCACCACTGTCTCTGGTCCAACTCAGAGTCATCCCGTGAAAGGCCTCCTGGGCCTGACCCAGGGGTCGACTTGCCACTGCACAGGCCGAAATCCCCTGGCCCCATCCTGGGCCTCCGGTGCCCGTGGGAAGCCAGGCCCTTCCTCCTCCTCGTGAGCAGCTGGGAGCCATCTCAGACTGGCTCGGACCCTGCCAGTTCCCAGCTACAAACAACAGTGCAGACTTGGAGTGGGACCGAGGCCAACTGCAGGGTAACCCTGGTTTCTCGGTGGGGCCCTTTTTCAAAACTTTCGGATCACTTCCTAGGACCCGCCCCCACCCTCCCCCAGTACCTACACTATTTCTCAGCCCACCCGCCCACAACTCCTCCATCTCTCAGCGACTCAGAATCCCCTCCACCCTCTCAGCCTGTCCCCTAAGTGCTCCACCACCACCTCGCCGATTCCGAGGGCCCCTGGCCGCCTTGCCCTCCACTTTGTCGCGTGCGTTCCACATGCAAGGGCCCCTGTACCTCTCCAGTCCAG